AGGTGAGCAAACACAAAAACAGAAATAACAAAGAAAATGTAATCAGCATATACTATGACATTAGAAATGAACACAATCAGACTTATGAGTCCAAAAGAACTGAGTATGGGCCCTGGCCAGGTAGCTCAGCTGGTTAGAGCTTTGTTCTGATACACCAAGGCTGTATTTTTAATCCCAGTCAGGACCCATAAGAGAATCAACCAATGAATACATAAATAAGTGAAACAGCAAATCAATGTTTCTCTCTCTCTCTCTCAAACCAATCGATAAATAAAAAACTGAGTACACATTCAACAAAAATTGAAACTATACTAGGAGCCAGGAGAAAGGGAAAATGTTATGTATAAGGAAAGATAAGAGAGATAACACCTTATCTTTCGTAACAGGAAGTCAGTAGATAGGCAAATCTGAAATATCAAGAAATAGCAGAGCATGCACATTATTTGCAAGAATTATGGTAAATATCTGAAAAGTAAAAAGTAATTTTTCCTGGAGAAGAGGAATCAGAGATGGGGAGAAGTTGACAGGGGGCTGCTGCTTTTCATTACAACCTGTTCTATTTGGTTTTTAACACTATGTATTACTTTGATATAAATGAAAAATACATTAGGAAAAGCAACATCTCTCAGAACCATGTCTCTCACATGCAGACACCAGCCTATCTACAAACTGACAGATAAGATTTGCTAAAATGCAAAGTAAATCTCATCTTAGAATTATAAATTCATGCCCAGCCAGCATGGCTCAGTGGTTGAGCATCGACCTATGGTCCAGGAGATTGTGGTTCGATTCCCAGTCAGGGCACATGCCAAGGTTTCAGACTCGATCTCCAGTAGGGGGCGTGGAAGAGGCTGCCCATCAATGACTCTCTCATCACTGATGTTTCTGTCTCTCTCTCCCTCTCCCTTCCTCTCTCTGAAATCAATAAAGACATATTTTTTAAAAAATTCTAAATTCGTGACTCATTGGTGAATTAGTTTTATAAGTGAATTTTTTAAATGACAAAAGAGATTTTCAATTGATATTTTTATAATTTCTCCAATCCTTTATCCATTTATGCTAATGCAAAATTTAATTCAAAAATTACAGCTTAAACTTTCTCAGCAACTACTTTTGCACAAAGGACTGAGCCTGTTTGTGTGAATGTAACTATACACATTACACTCTGGTCCTTCACGCCAGCCTTTAACTCACAGGCTTTCCTGTCATATCAACCGATGTTAGCCCAATAAAATTAATTAAAAAAAAATAGACTACAGCCATGGCTAGTTTGGCTCAGTGTTTAGAGCGTAAGTCTACAGACTGAAGGGTCCCGGATTCAATTCCTGCCAAGGGCATGTACCTTGGTTGCAGGCTCGATCCCTGGCCCCAGTTGGGGAGCGTGAGGGGGGCAACCAATCGATGTGTCTCACATCCATGTTTCTCTCTCTTTTCCCCTCCCTCCCTTCCACTCTCTCTGAAAAGAAATGAAAAACATATCCTCGGGTGAGGGTTTAAAAAAAAAATAGACTACCACTCAATCCAGCAATCTCACTTCTGTGTATTTATTTATCTGAAGAAAATAAAAATGCTTAATGTGAAAAGAAAAGAAAACAACATAATTCCTTTGGAAAGTTCTCAGATAAAACAAATTCCTCTTTACAGCAGGGGTGAGTCAATGAAGCCATTTGTCTGCACCCATCACATTCAGAACAGCAGACTTGTTTCACTTTCCAACAATCCAGCGCTCCTTGGACATTTAGTCTTGAGAGTCTCATACCTGACTGGTGCCGTTTGTAGAGCTGTCTACTCTGTTATTTTCAGCACGATTCCCCAAGATTGATGGGAAACAGAGAAAAAGAGCAGCGTCGCGCATACCCGTTCAATATAACCAGCTCGGCCGCGCTCACCTCCCCGTGGTTCAGTTGAGGGCCGAACTGGACTATACGTGAGAGAACTGTATTTGTTTAGCTCACTTGCTGTTGAAATACCTCGTTGGGGCTAGGATGGGATACGGTTTACTTAAGTTAGAAGTTAGATCAAAGCGTCTGCCTCTAGCCCAGTTTGGGGGCTGTTTTCAGTTGGTGATGTCAGCAGTGCATGGGACAGGGGCTTCCAGTGACACCTACAGACTCGCTGGCCCGGATCTGCTCTACCCTCTCAGTTACAAAGGCCTGTGATTCCATGAGAAAGAGGTTTGGACAGTTTACACACTGAGAGGTACTGATGGCTCGGAGTTTCCTGTGCACATCTGTGGCCAGTAGAAGAAATGGGGAGAGAGGTACCTAGAGGCAGAGGCAGGAACAGGACGCATGGAAACTCAGGACACAGGGGACACCGAAGGAGGGACAGCGCCTCAGGAAGCTCATGCCATGTATTTTAAATATTTCCGGCTTTCCTCCCAAAACACATGACTTTGAAATGCAATGTGTTTTCCATTTCATGGCTAATTTGCCCCGATCTGGCTACATTTCAGGCAGCTTATAAACAGCTGGTGTGGGCGAGAGAGAAACATCCACAGAGCCTCTGCCCGAGGCCTGGCGAATGTGCTCGCCTCCCGCCGGCTCCTGGACAGCGGCCCCGGGGGCCTGCTGGGTCGCCCTCCGAGAGGGGAAGGCGACAGGCTCAACCCACCCGATTGCTCCTGAATCCTTACTGAAAAGGCCATGCGGGTTTCCAACAGCTGAATGGTTCTCATTTACACTGGGCTCCGGTGGATTCGGGGAGGAAAACGACCACACGAAACCAAACAAAATATCCCAGGCTTTCCACCGCCAGCTCTCCTCCCCCAGCTGGCCTGCGCCTCTGAACTGGCGGCGGGGGGCCCACGCCCCACCCGTCTTCCCTCCTTTCTCTCAGTGTCACAGTTCTCGCTCCTCTCCCGAGGCATTTAGTACCTCGGCGTAGGGACGGGCAGAGAGGACACGGACAAGACGCGCAGTGTCCAGAATCAAATCCCTACCAACGACTTACCGGTGGTGCCAAAATAACAACCCCCAAATACGCCGCTAATTTCACCAAAACTTGGTCTTCCTAAAGGCTTGGGAAATGACAGGGAAGTTTTGCAGGGTCCTCTGTTCCTCAGCCCACCCACCGCGGCACCTGCCCGACGGCCCTTCTCGCAGGTGGACCGGAAAGCTGCTGGAAAGCGTCCTACTCTGAGCACAGCTTCCTCCTTCCTTCATCATGCTGAGAATAACCTGCATTCAGGTGGCGCCGGAAACTGAACAGAACATTCACAGCACAGATCACGCCGCGCGGTCCGTGGGTCCCCCCTGCTGCCCTCCCGGGGGCAAGTCCGGGCTACCCTCCCGCCTCCTGCACCCGCGCGGCCGGCAGACGGGGGCACCTCCCGCAGCAGCCCCGTTCCCAGCCGGCCGTCCCAGTGAGGCCGCTCCTCCTGCCCTCCCACGGGCGTTCCTCGCAGAAACGCCCTCTGTTCCCGACAGCACTTAGGCGATGCCTTTGCTTCTCTGGGTTTTTATTATCACCCCCCCCTTTCCCTTTGCCACACTGGTCTCCTTGTTACCGTAGTCGGCGGAAGGTTAATAAGAAGGAAGCGAAGGGCGTCAGGCACTGTGGGGCTTCATCCAGCGGGGAGCTTGCGCCTGTCTGCTCCAGCGGGAGGCTGGGCTCCACGCTCCCCCCACCCAGGGAACCACGGGTCGGCTCCCCACAGGTCACCGGAGAAGGGGACAGATCAGCGAAGCGGGAGGCACGCACATGCTCAGCAGAAGTCACAATGGTGCAGGGGGAGGCGCCTGACCAGAGCGGCCTGTCGCTCTAACCAGGGAAAGGGATCACTAGTCACCGGTGGACCCATCAGCAGCCTTAGAGAGCTTGGGAAGTGGACTGGTTATTTTGAAAACGCTCCTGGTTCCTCCCAAGCCCGAGAATACATAACCCCAGGGGGACAAAGAATTCTCTCTGTCTCTCTCTCACCCACCAGGTAATGCACCAGAGAGCACGCGACCGTGTGGATCTAGCAGAAACCGGGCCCACAGGCCACATGGGCTCCAGAGGACTGAGATTTAATATGAAACAGAAACTCTGGACACTGGTCTTTGTCCTGGCCTTGATGAAGACAAGGTTGGACTTTTTCCATGGCAGGACGGACAGAGACGGGACCCTGGGAACCCAGGAGGGTCACCCTTCTATTTCCACCCCAATAAATCATCTTGCCACCCCACAATCTCCCGCACATGGGCCCGTGGAATTCCTTCCTTGAAATCCCCTGGAAGAGCCCAATTTCCACCACCAACGTACTGAGGCTACTGATGACAAACCCAGCTGAGCCCAGTACGTTCCTGTGAACTGCAGACACTGGTGCCACTCAAGTACCCTGTGCCCAGACGTGGACACCACCAGATAACTCGCTCGACAGCAGAGCAGTTACGATGGCCAGGCGGTTCTGTGCAGACTCAGCGGCATCAGCCAGTTACACACGGTGGCTATACACTGTCACCAATAACTCCCGTGTCTGAAAATGCGGGTAAATCAACCTCGGCCGTCTGTGCAAACGCAGAGCCCCGGGGAGACCCAGCAGAGACGCCCCCAAGATTTCTTATCGGGCAGCTCTACACTGTCATGGTTACAGGCTTCTCCGGGCCTGGGAAGCGCTGAGTCGGTCGAGTAGAGTCAGGGCCCAGGTGAGCAAAGCCAGTTACAATTTAACCTGAAGGTTAAAGTCAGTCTCTGCTGCATCCCCATCATTTTGTGGGGGACAGGAGGGCAGTCAAGCGATGCTCCTGTCGGGCCCCCGTCAGCTGCAGCTGGAACAGCACACCCTTCAGGTCCTAATGCTATAAATTCATTTCTCCTCAGTGCTGGTAACCAATTACTACTCTTATAAAACTGGCCTCTAACTGACCCATCTCAGCTTTTCTGTCCGGGGACAGTCGGCACACCTGCCCTGTACCGCGTCAAGCGCCCAGCTCCGGGGCGGGGGCACGCTCGCTGAAACGCACCCAGGTTAAAGCACGCTCGCTCTCCGCGCTTTCCACCAGGGGCAGGTTACTCACCTGTCACTTCCCGCTGCTGATACTCCCTGCTTTTAAGGACGGGGTGTGAGATCCACATCCACGGGTGGTGCTTGCGGAGCTGGGGCAGCAGGTAGTGGGTCACGAACCCCACGGCGCCGGCCAGGACGAACAGGACCACGCTGAGAAAGGGCTGCGGGGACAGAGGGCGTGTGTGGTGATGGGCTCGGCACAGGGGTGGGGCCACCCAGGAGTAACGAGGACACGGTGGGCCTCCCCCGTTTCCCCTCAAAGCACAGACACAGACTCAGGTCTGGTTTCAGGCCCCTGAACATTTCCTCGCATCATGAGACCATCTCGGTGCTGAGGACCCCCGAGAGCCACTGCGGTGGGTGAGGATCGGCCAGTGGAAGTCCAGAGGCCGAGGGGACTCTGCCCACCACTTTCCTTTTTTTCAAAGAGGCCAAGAATAGCAAAAATAGCTAATAGACTTTTCCTCATTGAAAGGATTCATAAATATGTAACATTAAAAAAATATATATGTCTTTATTGATTTCATAGAGAGGAAGGGAGAGGGAGAGAGAGATAGAAACATCCATGATGAGAGTCATTGACCGGCTGCCTCCTGCACGCCCCCGACTGGGGATCGAGCCCGCAACCGGGCATGTGCCCTGACCGGGAATCGAACAGCGATCGCCTGGATCCTAGGCCGATGCTCAACCGCTGAGCCACGCCGGCCGGGCTATAACATTTTTATAGAGTCAGCCACTGCCTGTAAGAACCTTAAGCCAGGAGTTCCATCTCAATTTCTCTGCTTTTGTTTTTCTACCTCATCTTTCTGGCTCTGGGGCCTCCGTGTCACTCACGCTGTGGTAACTGCCCCCCCGGCTGTGGCCTCAGCCTGTCCCGTTACTGCTGTCCTCGAGGTGCTGGGGTCCACACGGAGGCTGCTGCCCGGCATCAACACAACCCCCGATGGGGGAAGAGAAAGTGGGGAACCAAGAGCCAAACCTGTGATGGGGACCGAGCCGCAGCGGGCAGACTCCCCGCAGGCCACGGACATGCCCCTCGGCCTCCTTTGGCTCCGCCAAGCCCTCGTGGGGAGGGGACCGGGGAAGGATACGTACGCGCAGGGACAGGAACACAGTGCTGGCGCTCACTGCGAAGGACAGCACGGCAGCCACCGAGCACACGAGGAGGTCCGACTTTAGGATGTCCTTCTGTGAAGAGAAAACAGCCATGAAGTTCATGCTTCCTTGTTTCTCTCAGCAGCTCTGTCGCCAGGCGAATCGGGTGGCAGGACACTGACCCTGGACAGACTCCCTGTTCGGCCCATCGCTTACGTGATATAGTCCCAGTGGCGCGCGCTGGATGGACCCTCCACCGCTTCCTACTTGGGGAACATCAGGGAAACGGAGGCAAAGGGTGGAGAAGGAAATGGAAGGCTAGCCACGGAGAGAAGAGAGGCCTCCTGCACGCGACGAGACATAAACACAGTCGGACCCGAGACACCCAGGCCTGATGAAGGGCGGTCAGGGTCTAACAATCCGCACCTGGCCTCAGTGTAGCTTGTGCTTCCACAGGCAAAGCACAGGGGCCTGGGCACGCCACACAGAAGCTTCTTACACACTTCGTTATTTCTTTGGACCAGAACACATTTTACATTTTACAATGCCTGATTTCAGGCTTATTACAAAGCTACGCTAATCAGGTATCGATGGTATCGCCACAAATGACGCATCTAAACAAAGGACCAAAAAGGGGTCCAGAGAGAGACCAACGCATGTATGGCCAACTGACTTCAAATAAAAGTGCCACGGTGAAAGGCCACCCTCGCCCTACATGAGGGAAAGGGTCATTTATTTAACAAATGTTGCTGGAACAATTAGATCGCCGCCCGCAAACCAAGAACAACTACAGAAAACATCTTTTTTAAAAATCCTAACCCGAGGACACTTTTTCCATTGCTTTTCAGAGTGGAAGGGGGGGAGAGAGAGAGAGGAACATTGATGTGAGAGAGACACATGGACTGGCTGCCTCCTGCACACACCCGACCGGGGCGGAGATCGAGCCTGCAACCGAGGTACATGCCCTTGGCTGGAATCGAACCCAGGACCCTTCTTTCCAAGGGCCGACACTCTAATCACTGAGCCAAACCAGCCAGGGCACAAAAAACACCTTGACACTTCACACCACATACAAAAATTAACTTAACGTGCATCGTAAACCTACCTTAAACTATCAAATTTCTCAAAGGAAACGTAAGAGGAAATCTTATTGACCTTGGGTTTGGCAAAGCTTTCTTAAAAAGGACACTAGAAGCTGGGGCTATAAAAGAAAAAAGTCACTGAATTGGACTTCATGAAAAACTAAAACATTTGCTGTTCAAAAGACGGTGCTATAGAATGAAAAGGCGAGTCGGGACTTGAAAAGGACAGATACAAAGAACTTCATGACTCAGTCAAAAAACAACCCCTACCCCATTCCCAGCTGTGCATGGGCAAAAGATCTGAACAGACTCTTTAAAAATACATATATATCATTATAAATTAAATGGTAATTACTGAGCTTTTCATTCTTGATGCTAATTAATGAAACTAGACCACTCTTAATACTGGTGAAAGTAACATTGGCAAAATAAAAGGAAAATGGTTCCCTCTTTCCTTACCAACACCAAAAAGTAGATGTTATCTGCTCCGGAAATTTTATTCTTAAAAATATTATTTTTTCAAAAGAACCTTGAAAAACACCTGGACCTCAGACATGGCTGCTGTGTCCTGAGAAAGTGGCCTTTAACATCATAAAAAGGAGGTGATTTTGATTGGTTTTCTTGTTAAATAATTTTGGCTCACTTAAATGCATGTTATATACCTCTGTTTCTAAAAGATATAAACTGCTTTGAAAGAAAACAAAGTTGGAGGACAATATCTGATTTCTAGGCTTATTCCAAAGCTACAATAATCAGGTATTGATAGTATTGGCTGAAATAGACATCGAGAACAATGGGGCAGAATAAGGGGTGTTTGCATGCATTTGGGGGGGGGGTTCTTTAGCTTTCACTTTGTTACACAAAAGGGTAATTACTCTACTTCTCTCTTCCTTCACATGCTTGAAAACTAAAAAATCTATGATTCTATTGAATTACTTATTTGAAAAAGAGTTTTAGAATCTGTTCCATATTGATAAATGTCCTGTCTTAAAAATAAATCATATGACCTTAGATCATACAGAAATGAGAGTACGAAAGACCTAAGCAAAATGCAAATTTAGAAGGTCTAGCAATTTTTATTATTAATTAATGTTTCCATTACAGGACATGATAATATGGCAGCTAGAACACAGAAGGGGAAAGATCATTCACAACCATGGCATCCTGACACTAACAACATTTGCATGTCTGTGTTTTCCTGGACATTATTTTTGCCTATGAATGCTGGAGGTTCTTGTTGTAGGCATGAGGTATATGGGTTTTTTATGCATATTTTATAAATGCCTATTCTTAGTGTGCATATAATCTCTACCTTTTTCAACAGTACTTTCTTTTGTAAGCACTCATATAATATATACATTATTTTACAGGCTAATAGTTGCTTAATGGCTGACTAATTTGCAATCTTGTGCCATCCACACATACACATGCACATACAAACAGTGCCACTGTGGACACACAAAACATTAATGTAGAGAATCAACTGAATGATCGACAGTCGGTGCAGACATCCCCGAGCGCGAGATGACGGCTGCCCGCCATTTGTTACCATGATGAATTAGGCACCATTCTCTTTACGCACCTAAATCTTTCTTCATATTGTGAAGTAATTCTCTAGAAAAACTGACAAATAGATTTACTACATCATGGGTTATGAATATTTTATAATCCTTGATAAATTATGCTTTTCCAAATGACTGTAATAATTTGCACAAATACAGTGTCTAAGGGATCTCACCTTGTCACAATTGGCAATATCAATAATTTATCCTGGACTAATTGAGTGGACCAAAAAAATGCCGGCTTATGTCAATTTGCATTTCTTTATTTCAAAAAGTATACATGTCATACATTTAGATACTAAATATTTGATTCCTAAATGAAATATATATAATAGTATAATTTGCTTATAGTTTTCAACGTTAAATTACATGAATTGTTGGTATAAGATATTTAGCTTTTGTCAAATTTGCAACAAATATTTTAATAAACTATTCAAATTTTGCCTTTTTTTACATATAGAAGTTAAAAATTTTTATGTACTCAAATCTGTATGTGTGTGTTGTGTTGTTTTTGTTTTATAGATTCCAAGTCTGAAAAATCATTCCCTCTCTAGAATCTGAATATTTGATTTTATTCCGTACTCCGTTTTAGAGTTTCTTGCTCAAAATGTTGTCAACACTTAGTATTGTGAGAACTTTTAATTTTTTGTCAGTCTGGTGGGTGTGAAATGGTCACTCAGAGTGGCTTACTTTGGAGTTTAGTTTGGATGTCAGCAGTCCCCCTTACCCACTGGGGATACGTCCCAGCACATGCAGTGGATGCCTGAAAACGTGACTAGTACTGAACCGTATATACACTGTATTTTTTCCTATACATGCTTACTTGCTTAAAGACAGCACTTTAGGGCTCCTCTTTGGCATATCCGAATTCCCAGCACCACTGCTCTTTCGCCTGGGGACCGTTATGAAGTAAAATAAGGGGACTTGAACACAAGCACTGAGGCACCACAACATCCCTCTGATAACCGAGATGGCTAACAAGTGACTAAATGAACAGGAAGAGCGGTGCACATTTTAAAACTCATCAACTGTTTATTTCTAGAATTTTCCATTTAATATTTTTGGACCTCAGTTGACCAAGGGTTACTGAAACCACAGAAAACAAAATTGCAGATAAGGGGAGATTACTGTACATTAGTGTTTTAGGCCAGTTATATTTCCGCTTTTGTGAAATGCATGGACAAGCTGCTGGCCTATTTGTAATTGAGGGGTCTGCCTTTCTTATTGATCATGGGAATTTTATACTCGTCTCGACACTAGTGCTTGTCAACTATATATACTTTGATAATCGTTGCCCACTCTGTGGTTTGTTTTCTGTCTCTTTTTTGGTATTATTTGATAAATCAAAGGTCATAATTTTAATGAACTTGAATTTTTGTGTTATTTTTTAAAATTATTTTCTAGACTGCTATCATAAAGATAACTCCTTTTATTATGATTATAAGTGCTTTCAGGTTTTGTCATCACATATTTAGGTTTATAATCCAGCTGGAAGTGGCTTTTAAGAACAGTGTGACAGAGAGTCCTATTATAGCTTGCTACTTATAAAGAACTATTTTTTAATCATTTGTTTTCCCTTTGTACAGGGTGGAAGTTAGTGCTCCACTCCTACTCCTTTAGCGGGAACAGAAATCTTTACACTAGACATGGCGACATGCATACTTTCGTTACTGGTCAGAAGTGAATCAGCATCTCTATTTGTCCCGGACACTGCGGCACACTTTCCAGTCTTGGAGCCCATTTCTCTTGCCATTCAAACCTGGATGTTACTGTGGTCACATACTTTAATTCTCCCTTGCATTTTCTACAGCAGTAAACTCGTATTGTGATTTTACACATTGATTGCTTGTTTAGGTTGACCAATGTATCTGCCACCTTTTCTTCTTTCTTGCTAATTAGACCTTCCGCCTGAGATAACTATTGAAAGACACCCTTCAGAATTACATTTACTGAGGGTCTCTCAGCTTTGGTTTGTCTAAAATATTTTTATTGTGCCCCCATTCTGAAAAGGTATTTTACTGGACGTAGGTTCTAGCTTGGCAGTTACTTCCTTTACAGATCATTAAATATATCAAACAACTGTCTTCGGGCTTCTACAATTCACTTGAATATAATCTATTCATTTTGTTTAACTGCTTTAAGATGGTCTTTGTCTNCATTCTGAAAAGGTATTTTACTGGACGTAGGTTCTAGCTTGGCAGTTACTTCCTTTACAGATCATTAAATATATCAAACTGTCTTCGGACTTCTACAATTCACTTGAATATAATCTATTCATTTTGTTTAACTGCTTAAAGATGGTCTTTGTCCTTAGTGCACTGCAGTCTCACTAGAGTCTGACCAGTGTGGATTATTTATTCTTTAACTTGCCTGTTTGTTACTCACTGGGAGTTCTAAATCTCTAGATCAGTGAATTTCATCAATTATGGTAAATTCTCAAATACCATGT